TCTCTCTCTCTCTCTCTCTCTCTCTCTCTCTCTCTCTCTCTCTCTCTGTGTGTGTGTGTGTGTGTCTCTCTATCTCTCTGTCTCTCTGGCGTTTTTGCCGACGTTAATTATTTTATTGTTTTTGTCAAATGTTTTGCACGTCCTTACAAAACGTACTTACACCCACGTTAGAAAAAATTAACTTCAAAAATGTGGACGTGAACGTGAGACGATGCATGAATCATATAATTTTTTAGAACGTTTGTGTCGGAGAAACTGGGCGGGCGAGAGCGCACAACACCAAGAAACGAGAACATCGTGATAAACAAGAAATATGCGCATTGCGATCGATCAGTGTGGCTGTGACAGAAAATAAAAAAAAATAAAACTGAAGGCTTGACAAAAGATCGCTTGTTCAATGGAATGACAAAAATGAAGTTTTTCTTCTTGTTCTTAATGTGGCAAAGGAATGATCTTTCTAATTTGTAAATGCCACAGAAAGTTCAGAACCATTGTAGCGTGAATGTGTAAGAATGGATGCATGAATGACGGATTGAACAATTTGCTAGTGTTTCTGTGTGTTACAAATTGTTTTTTTTTTCTCTTCAGAGTTTGCCGATTTTAACGACTGCAAATGCTATTTCATTGCCAATATTTCCACTATATGATTCTATTCTTTCTCTCTCTGTTACAGATTACACACCGAAATAGAGCAATTCTATGAACACATGATACCAACACGAACGGAGCATGCATTACGTATGAAGGTCGTGAGTCGCATTGAATCGGTGGTGTTGCAAATGTGGCCCGATGCACATGTCGAAGTGTTTGGTAGCTTTCGTACCGGATTGTATTTACCAACCAGTGATATTGATTTGGTGGTCCTTGGCGCTTGGGATGGCCTACCATTGCGTACATTGGAAACGGAATTATTGGACTGTGGCATTGCCGAACCGAATTCCGTGCGTGTACTGGACAAGGCCAGCGTACCAATCATCAAGCTAACCGATCGCGAGAGTCAAGTCAAAGTTGATATATCATTTAATATGGAATCAGGAGTGCGATCAGCCGAATTAATCAAAGACTATAAACGCAAATATCCGGTTTTATCGAAACTGGTTTTGGTGTTGAAGCAATTTTTGCTGCAACGTGATCTCAATGAAGTGTTTACAGGTGAGTAATTTTTTTTTTCTTCGTCTTTTTGTTTCGATCGAAACGATAAATATGATTTTTGTAACGCACACACCATTGAATGCATTTAAAAGTAGATTTTGTTCAAAAGTACATTCGATCCAGACGGTGATTTTTATTCGTTGAAATATGCAAGAAATTACGACAATTTTGGTGGTTCTGTTGAAAATCGCCAAGCCGATGTTTTTGATTCGAAGTTTTAATTTCTATTTCGAGTTGATTCATCTTATTCCGTTGGAAATTCATTTCTTGATAACATTTTCCCCTGCCTGCCCAACATCTTCCAAATGCTGTCTGCTGTTATCGCATTTAATAGAGATCCAACACCCATGTCCATTCTGTTTGAGTCTAAATCAAATCAATCTAGTTGGATTTGTTTCATCATTATTTATTATGTTCAAAACAATACGACCCGAGTAAACAAAATCAAATGGCCGTCATTTGGCCAATTCATTGTTCTTATTACATCGAATAAAATATCTTTTACGTGCATTCATAGTGCGTCAACCATAGATTACCAATAAAAATAAATATGCGGTACAGTATTTCATTTGACTGGCAATAAAAAAAAGAAATATCGCTTTTTGTTGCATTTCAATGAATGCTACTGATTTGATGTGCATTTTAGGCCGAAACTAAATTATTGAAGAATTGCGAAATATTCAAATGAATCCCGTTTTATTTTTGTGTGAATTCTTTCCAGGTGGCATTTCGTCATATTCCCTAATTTTAATGTGTATCAGCTTCTTGCAATTGCATTCGCGAAACCAGTCGTGGGAGAATGCGAACTTAGGTGTTTTGCTAATGGAATTTTTGGAATTGTATGGCCGAAAGTTCAATTACATGAAAACGGGCATCAGCATTAAAAAAGGCGGTAGATATTTACCCAAAGAAGATTTACAACGTGAAATGGTGGACGGTCATCGGCCGAGTTTGCTGTGCATCGAAGATCCATTGACACCCGGCAACGATATTGGCCGATCATCCTACGGTGCATTGCATGTGAAACATGCATTCGAATGGGCATACATTACACTAACGTCGGCTGTTACACCCATCCAAAATGGTACAAATGACTGTACACGAAGCAGTATACTGGGTCGTATTGTTCGCGTTACTGACGAAGTGATTGAATATCGAAATTGGGTACGGGCCACATTTGAGCATACGCTCATCTCACCGGAAAGTCCACCCGGTGGCAATGGTTCATCGTCGGGCAATCTCAGTAGCAACACATCATCGTTGAATACAAATGTGTGCAATACGAATCAGCGGCGACGTAAGGGCAGTATATCCAGTGAAGAAACGTCGGAGGAGAGCATGGATTCGGACAATGGTGATTCGAATTCGGTGTCGCGTGACATATCGCCGACACACGAACGTAGCGCGTACACCGTGAACAAAGTACAAAATGATCAAATTCCAACCATCGAAGATGTCGACGCAAACACAATCATTATCATCGATGATTCTCCGGACGAAAATGAACCCGTGCGTACTCCACTCGTAAGTTGGGCTTTTTTTTCTGTGTCACTTTCATTTTCTGTTCCACTTCGAATCGAAAATATTTACTCAGCTGAGCTAATATTTTGTATTTATCTGTTGTGCGTGTGTACTTGTGTGCGTATTGTTTTAGATGGAAGTACCACGTCAGAAACACCAAACACAGCCTTTATATACGGCACCTCGACTCTCCGAACGTTTCGATCGCGTTTCGCCTTTGAATAGTCGCCGATCAAACGCCGACAACTACCATGACAATAAATCAAATCAACGGCAAAGTGGTAAGTCATTGCGTCGTCACAGCACAAACACAAACACATACACATCCAGTACAGCTAGCCAAAAGGAACTATCGCCAACCAATCAACAATCCCATTTGCACCAGCAAATGAACAACAACAGCAGCAGGTAAATATAGCATTTCTTAAATTGAATTTTTTCCGAGTATTTTGTTTTTTGGGTTGAGCAAACAACTGAAATGTTTTATTTGGAGTTCATTTTTCAATGTGCATTTATATTTAAATCGACTTGTTTATACATATATTTAAAACTTATCGAAATTCATTGCAACTGTATTAATTTGAGTGTTTGTTCCATTTTCGCAGCAATAGCAGTAGCCGAGAGGGTATTCCAAACATTCACCATGGATCAAGCAGCTTGAACAACATGAACAATCAAAAGAATAAGAAGATGCCTAAACGGAAACGTGTGACGGCTAATTATCAATTTGACAATAGCAGTGGAAGTGGTAACAGCGCATCGATGGGCGTAAATTCCGTTCAAAAGCTAAATAACAGTAAGTCACAGATGCAACAGCAAGCACAAAGTAATACAAATGCCGCCAATTCAATGGGAAAATCGTTAAAAATGGGCGCATCGAGCCGATGATTGTTGTCGATGACGGCGGTGACGATGACGACGATGACGATGACGATGACGACGAACCCACAACGAGATCACAAACAGCCTCGATTGCCAAAACAAACGTTAGAATGTACATCTCGATGGCAGAACTCACTGTCTCTTTCATTTCCTCACTTTTAACACATTTTAACGAAATAAGAGTAAAGATGATGAAAAGAAGATATTGAAGAAAATTAGCAAGAGCAACACGCATATATTTGAAATAAGAATATGATAGAATTTACAAAGAATTTAAAACAATAAAACAACAAATGAAGAGATTGTTAGATGGCTAATCAGCACACATAGCACGAGAAACGAATTATCGGAGAACTTATAGCGAAAGAGAAAGAGACACCGATTACACTTGGCCGATCCAAGCACAATTGTCATACACATACACTCGTTCTAACATGACTGTTTCGTTTCGTCGGTCCTCATTAAACAACAACTAAAAAAAACACTAATTCTACCTAAAGAAGAAAAAAAAACGAATTATATATTATAAATAATAGATAAAACCACACAACTAAACAAAAGTGAGAGAAAAAAATATTTAAAAAAAAAAACTTTGCATAAAAGGAAATCTAGCAAAATAACAAAAAAAAAGATGTTACTTATTAAATTCTAATCAAATAATTATCGAGAAAATAGGAAGAGAGTTTAGAGAATTAGTCGTATTTAATGTTTAGAACATAAACGGCCATCAGTGAATAACGCGGTTAATTAATTATTATTATTATTATTTTTTTAATTATTATTATTATGAAATGCGCGAAACAAAAAAGAAATACCCTCCCGAATTCCGGAGCAGACACACGGTTTTCATGGCAATCTAATCGAGAGAGAGAAAGAGAAAAACTTTTATGATAAAAAAACATAACATAAGCTGCCATTGATTTGATTTTTCTTTTCATATTCTTAATGATCATACATCAATCTGAAGTTTTTTTCCCCTTAGACTCACTCTCACATACGCACATACACGTTTTTTTTTCTCGCCCAAAACTCCAAAACACATTAATTTCGTGGGGCAACGCGGCGCGCACACACACACAAAGGAAAGATTGATATATGTTTCAGAAAAAAAAATTACACGATCGAAAAGTGACAAAATGACGAATTCACAACCGGTCACAACAAACAAAGAATTTTTATTTCGGCCTTTCATGAGAGTGAAATTGATTTTCATGCAATAACAACAACAACAAAAAAACACACAAAAACCTGTACATTGTTCGAAATGTGTGTGTGAAAGAGAGCCGTTTTCATTTTTAAAACAAAAACATTTTTCGAAACTACCGTGTTCTTTAGTGTTGATGAACAGGATACAACAACAAAAATGTCCCCGATAATAACGGTTGATGTCAAAATATTTTTTTTTTCTTTTTCTCGCTACTAATTCCAAAGGAAAAAAACAAAAGAAAAATGAAAAAAGCAACATTTTGCAGTAAAATTCACAACATATAAATACACCCGAGAATATATTATATCATCGAATTATTTTTTTTTTCTTCATCTCTTTCTCCTGAAACGATCGATGGATTCGAGTTTGTTTCCTTTCTACGCGTTTTTCGTTGAATTTAACACGCCCCTCCTCCTTTGAATTTCATATAACAAATCTATTGATTATATGCAGTTTTTAAGTTTTGAATACAAAAGAAAAACAACAACAAGAAAGAAAAAAACTATTAAACAACATTGAAAAATGAACCAAAAAAATATACAAAAATTGTAAAAAAAAAACCAAAAAAAAAACTTAAAAAATGTTTCAAAGAATACACCAAAAAAAAGGAAAAAAAACATGTATTCGAATACAACAAAAAAGAAACAAAAAAAAAGAGATCCAGATAAAGTTTGATCAAATGAAAAAACACGTTGAAAGCGAGATCATTACAAATCCAGTTGAAATCATTTCATTGTACATTCTGTCTTACAACAATTCACTCGATTTTTTCCCCTTTTCATTTTCTGTTGATTGGCCTGAGAAAATATAGAACAACCACCACCAACTGATTTGCATTCGCATGATTATCAGCATTTGGATTTTATTCATTTTGATACATTGCGCGTGTATCAATTCAAATAGATATCCTTTTTTTTCTACAAATCCGCGAATCATTTTATCCTCTTTTTTTTGCATTAATTTTTAAGCATTATGATTATGGCCTTTTTCCGTTGCAAATAATGATTACACACACACAAACACACATGTGTCGCGTGCATTGCCGAAATGAAAGAAAAAGTGGAAAAAAACGATGCTGAATTCAGTGAGAAAGAGAAAATTTAGATCTATTTAAGATAAATGTATTACATGTATTTAAAATGGAATCTGTAGAACATTTATGCTCAGAGTGTATTTATTGTAACACAACAACAACACCACTGTAAAACATACAACATTTCTTCTTTTTTTTGTCAAATCGAGAAACCAAAATATATCCACATTCGCCATAAATAAAAATAACGAGAGAGAAAAGAAAAAAAAAACGATTTGCAAACATGTGTTATCTTTTTCGTCTGTTAATTTTGATTTATTTGCAGGGGAGAATTCAGTAATGATTGATTTTTTCATTACCAATGAAAAGAAAACAATTGGAATTTGATTTTGTTAATGGAAATTAAAAATTCGACTACTAACCAACTACAGGTGTATCTGCAGATGATTCTTCTCGTAGGTGTGAGAATTGTTTATCTCTAAAAAATTTCATAATATTTGTTGTCGATTGAAGATAGTTGTTTTCATCGATTTCTAGTTTTTCAAAATATTTCTGAATTTCGGAATAATTGGTAACTGCATCTGGATATTTCACATGTTCAGATAGAATACGGAGTTGTTGCAGAGTTTCTTGATGTGCCACCCCATCCATTCGAGATGTTTGATTTAGAGTATTCTCAAACTCTTTAAATAAACCATTCGTAATTTCTATAGCGTCTGCTTTTGATTCTTGGTCAAAGTATTTTAGCACAAGCATCGCATTAAAAGAAGGTGAGAAACTAAGAACGGAAAAATAATTGCATGAAATTGGTAATGTTGATAAAGTTTATGGTCGATTATTATCTAGATAAATAATTGAACCGCCGATAGTGAATCGCACACTTTTTCGCATCGTTGCGAAGGTGAAACTTGAATACGTTTCACAATTTTGTTGTATTCATTGCAGAACACAATCAAAATTTGACAATATACAGAGTCTTATTTGCGTACCAACATATCAAAGTGCCTGTTTGCGTACATCAGACTTTTTCAATTTCTCCAAATCTGCCTGGAATTTATTATCAGCGGTTCAGTTTCAATCATCAATTCCTCTTACTGCTCTTTCGTTTGTTTGAAACATTCCGCCCATCTCGAAGTGATGCCAACATTCAATTTTTGTATCTGTGACCAATTCATAAGCTGGATAAGCTCTCTCGTTAAATAATTCAATGAAATAGATGTGGTACGCCACACCAAATAGTTTGCTACCACACGTTTTGGTGTACTTTGCAATAGTTTGCCCAATTTTTCGAAGAACGATGGTGCAAGCATGAATACAACTTCATTTCCATCGACTGAATCGGGTGGCGTTATCAATGCATTAATGTAATCAACCCATTGTATATACGGATAGATTTCTTGAAGTGTTTCCAATTTTTGATGTCTAGGTAACTCTGAAAGATCTTCATTACTTGATGCAGACATCTTTCCAGAAAAATCAATGGAGAATATTCCAGAGAAATCATTCATAAAATTATTTCTTTCACACCAAAATGATCATGGAGTCAACTTACTTTAGCCAATTCAATCAAAAATTCAAGAGTTTCCAAAAGTTCTGCCCCAGCTCGACTGCGATCGGCTCCACAAACAACAGCGACATCAACCATGAATTTGTAGTACAACCGAATGGCGTCATTTTCAAATCCTTTAACGAGATCTTCACGATCGATAGGTAAATACGCTCAATCAAGCTATAATGCAATAGGAACCGTATTAAAAACAGTAAGCCATAGGACGACTAAACCAAAAGTCAACCACTGACCATAACAATATGAGAAGATGAAGTTGGATCTTTGATAAGTTGAACATCAAACACATAACCAACATCGTATCCAATGTGTCTCAATTGTTTGATTGCCCACGTATAATTCCATTCCGAATTAACATTCATCACCTCTGATAACAGGCCATCCGCCAATTGTATCGGTTATATTGGACAATTGCTCCAATCCATGATCCTCAATCGTTGTTGTATTCATGCATAATTTGTAGGATTTTTTTGCTAAATTGAACGATCGCAGCTCGTTTGGATTGATTTTTTCCATGAGCAATGAATGAAACAACGCTTCTTCCTTACTTTTGACCATATCTTCTATGCCACCATCAAACAAAGGACTCTTTGGATAATTACCACATGTAAATTTGAAAAAATTATCACATGGATCAACTGATTGGTCGATAAAGCGAAGTAATTGTGAGGCTGAACTTATACATCCTCGCGTTAAACATAAATCATCGTGATTGGATGTGGTGTTTACAATTGATGCTGATGTAACTGAAGCAATTGCACCAACTAATGATATCACGGAAACAATCGTTTTTATGACATTGCAACGGTGACCATATTTTGAATACCTAAATACAGGAGAAAAAAAATAAGCAAAATGAAAATAATTAACTCTTAATTAATAGATAATTCAATTTTCCTCATATTTTTATCTAATTGTAAAACCTCATCTTACACGATGTGATTATATGCCTACCGAAATCTGTCCAAAATTTTCAAAAAAAATCCAATCAACATCTTCATATATTTTCAATGGAATCAATGAAAATTACTTTAGCTAATTCAACTTCAAATTCAAGTGTCTCATTGATTTCCAGTTCAGCTGCGCTTCGAATCCTCGCTCCACAGATGACGGCAATGTCAACCAACAATTGAGCGAATTCCTTCATTTCAGCATCTTCCAGCCCATTGATCAATGTTTCACAATCAATCGGCAGTGCTGGATAATCAATCTGATGAGAATATTTCAATCGAATTAAAAGCTACTGAATGAAAATAGAAGTGATGGAATTAACACTTTGGATATAATCAAAAACTGCTAATTACGCCCAGATAAAAAACGGATGACACGTTCAAATCGAAGCCATAATCAACATCAATAATATAATTTGTTGGAATACCCAATTTGCGGAATTCTTTTATTGCCCACGTCCAATTCCATTCCGATCGTTCATCCCACAACAATGGGCCATCCACCGAGCTTATCAGTTATGCTACCTAATTCCTCCAAAAAGTGGTCCTCGATCTGTTCCTCGTTCATACATGCGCGGTAGAACGTTTTTGCCAATTTGAATGGTCGTGAATCGTTGGCATTGATCTCTTCCATAATCAATGAATGAAGTTTGGCTTGCAGATTGTACTGAATTACCTCGTGTACGTCTGCAGGCAGCGTTAGAATCTTTGGATAATTACCACATGCAAATTTTAAAAAATCCTCACATGGTTCAACGGTTTCATCGATATATTCAAGTATGTTCGCTGTTGCATCCAAACAGTCGGGTGTTGGACACAAATCATTTGATTCAATGTGGTTCTCGGTTGTGGGAAGCGATAAAACGGGACCAATAAGTGTAGATAGCATTAATGAATGTTTTCCCTTCAGTTCGACGTCCTTTTAACCACCTGATCGGAAAACATACAAAGCAAAAATAATTTCGAATACGATCTGGCATTGTTCTGAGAAAGTTTTAAAATTGCCAAAAATATAGAAACCTTAGGCGTAAAAATGATTCCGCGAACTGTTTTTCTCGGGTCATGGTCACAACCCGATTCATGGCAATCGAATTCAAAGAAGAATATATGCCGAGGAATAAACGCTCTATAATTGAAGTGTATTCAGCCCAACCAACTGTCGTACACTAATGTTGAAAATTAATGTGAATAAAAAGCCACGGAAAATTATTGTCGTACATCAACTAATCAGTCTGCTATCAATTGCATCTGATAAATGTTTCCCTTTGAGTTGTTTTCGATTCAAATATTATTCTGTTTGCAGAATGATTTCATCATTGTGAAATTTCATTATTTATTCTCGAATGAATGGTTGATAAATTATTTCTTAGAATATGGCTAAATGTGCTGACACATTTTGAAATGTGATGAATGAAGCGTTGGTTTGGATCAAGAGGAAGGCGAACAAAATTTTCGAAACTTCTACTTATATTCAGTATACTTGATTATTACGACGAATGAGCAGAACAAATGTGAATCCCATAAAAATAGTTGGTTTCTAAGCTCAAGTGATAGAAACAATCAACTATCTTTTCAAGTTCATTGAATATGAGCAAGTGCGTGAACCATTTGTGTAAATTCATTGGGTGCAACACAAACGGGGTGAATTCTAAAGTTTAAACTCTGATTCAGAGTCTCAAAACTATTGTTCAAATCAATTTGGGGTGAGATTAAAATTCGGTTTACCATTGACATTTTAATATCAAAACACAAGAAACAACTTCTTTTGACTTTTCTCTGAAAATATTTGAAAAAATTCAAAATAAATAACTGTTCAGTTAGTTCAGCCATTTGCCATACACCACATGAACTGACACTAGAGTGCGCTACCTTCCAACTTCTTCCATCTTCACATTCATTTCGAATGAATTCAGAAATAAAAATAAAACATGAAAACGAAACTGAACAATAAAATTCTGTGAAAATATTCAATCAAAATATCCCAGTTATGAGCATCGAATATGTAAATTTTTATTTCTTCATAATTCTATTTTGTGATGACATTATGTTCATTTCTATTCAATTGTGCTTTGCGACGACTATCTATTTGAACTGCAAAGATATGTCATTTTTAAAAATTTACCGTTTAATATGAAGAACATAGCGATTTGTGTGTGAAATGCATTTTAGACTGATTTAGAATTGAATACGACTTGTTTATTCATAAAATTAATCGATATTCTATCATGAAGAAACGAGTATTTCCTTTTTTATGAAAAAAATTAACTTTGTTCAAAGTTAAACTTCAGAACTAACTTTTTTATAAATTGCATTGTTCCATTCACCTAAATTTCCCTGGCAAAAAAGAATTGGTTCACCAAAAAGAGGTGTTCATCATGAATGTGAGTGAATCAATTACCCAACGGCCCTGCGGCCAAATATTTTCTAGCTGCGATTGCAATTGAGTTCATCTTGAAAGTATAAGATTCATTCCAGTGTTCCCGAAACAGAATGAATGCGAAAGAAACAATGTGAACGAGAAGTGTGAACAGAAGAGAACGAAAAAGAAGAAGAAGAAGAAGAAGAAGAGGGAAAAAACAGACGAAGTGGAGAAAATGTCTAACACGCACTTGGCATTTACAAATACATGAAGCGAAGAAGCCATAACGGTCACATGGAAACAAACAGTCGTCTATTCACAGACCGTACCATCGTCGTTCGTTAGAGTATACGAATTCGATAGAAAGAGAGCTCTCGATAAAACGGCTACAACACCAACAGAATGTATATGCTTGCACACACAAACATTCGGTTTTATATTTGTCAAAGCAATACCAACACACAGCAGCTGCTGCTTCTGCTTTTGCAGCAGCAACACACTTCGTGTGTATGTTGTTTTTTTCCCTCTTTTGACAATATACATTATACACATGGACATGCACAACTGAACTGCCATTTAAGTAAGTGAGAGTGTGTATCGAAGATGAACACACAACAAGTCGCTAAAGGTTTTTAGGCGGAAAAGAGAAGAGTGAATCCGAAGAGTACTAGGAAAAGAATATACATACAATTTTTTTTCTGTTGTTTCTCTCTTGTATCGCGCGCGTATTTGACATACGAACGTGAAAAGAGAGGTTGTTGTGTGTTGAGTGAAGCACACACAGAGTGTGTTCAGGAGAGACAGTGACTGAGTGAGAAAGAGAGCGCGCGCGAGAGAGACTAGCAAAGAGTAGAAGCAAATGAAGAGAAGAAGGAAAAAAAACACGCAAAATGTAGATATATTTCAATGTAGTTCCGAAAGGGATTGAATGAAAGTGCATTCGTTGTGCGAATTGTGGTGTTCATGTGTTTATGTGGCTTAGAATTTCAAATTCTAAAAAGATGTGACATGTCACCACATCAATAACAAAAAACCAATTCGCTACACAAATTTTGTTACATTCACGGTAAATCATTACGGTTTTTGTATTATTATTTTTCTCTCTCACGCTGCAAAACACTTCCAATTCGAAATGCCAACCAAACAATCAAAACAATCGAATGCAAACTAGAAACACACAACCGAAGAAGAAGCAAGAGAAAAAAAAACGAGGCAAATTCACACAAACTCGGAATTAAAGAGAGAAAAAAACAACTATACGTAAGAAACGAAGTGGAAAAATGAAATGAGAAAAGAAAATATTGAATAATTTTGTGTATTGATAACTATAAACCAAACAAATTCTTGTGTGTAATTGTATAATCGAAAATAGATTTTCTGTTGTTGTTGCTGTTGTTAGAAGAAAAAAAAACCAAAAATTCTCTTTCTTTCGTACAAAAAAGAAAAGATTCTGTGTTGTGGATTTGAAATGCTTGCGTGTAAATCACATCCGTGAAAAAAAAACAAACGCAGCCTATAGCTGCCCATCGAAAGAGATACAGAGAATACAAAACACGAAGAAAAAAACGTAAATAAAAGAAAAAGAAAAAGAAGAAGAAAAGAAAATAGCCAAACAACTAAACCCAGCATAGTTTAACGAAAAGTGAAAAAAATTGATTGATAATCATCACCGCCAGCAAAAAGAAGAAGAGAATTAAAGTCAATTATCCAATAACAGTGAGAAATCGGCCAAATCAAATGGCAACAAAAGAACTAGGTGAAAATGTGAAAATCAACATCATCAACGTAAACGAACCAAAGGCAACAACGTCAAAATATACAAGTCCATATCAATAACAACAACGTAGCGGATCAACAACAACACACTCGACAAAAATGTAATGCACAAAAAAACTACATTCGATTCGTCATATATATTTTTTTGTTCGTTCAGTTTTATTAAGAGTCTACAGTAGTTTTTTTTTTGCTTCCAAGTAGTCATAGCTTGTTTGGAAATCAAAATGATTGAATTTCAATTGAAATCCAAGCCAACAGTGCAAAACCATCGAAAAAAAAGAGTGTCGCTATTGCGAATCGCGAAAAAGTAATTTGGCGAATAACAGGGCGCAAAAAGCGCAATGTGAAACCGCAGTTTTGCAAGTACCATGAAGACCCATCAACAAACTGAATCACGCTCTAATTTCGAAAGGTCTTTGCATGAAAAAAAAATACGCAATCTCTGATTTGAAAATGAATTTAAAAAAAAAGTGCTACTTCGGCTGGGCCCGAATAGAAAATGCATCTTGGCCTCAAGTTCGATTTATGTGTGTGGAATGTTATATTTCGATCCATTAAACATTCGTAATGGCTCAAATTTTTCTTGTGTGGTATATTTCTCGCTTCGGTATTGATACGACGTCGACCCATCAACCGATGCACGATGCACGATGTGCGTATTCTACGCGATGAAATGAGTGTTCGTCAAAGATAGAGAGTGGTACCATTCCATTCTCATTCCAGAGAGAAAGTTCCTGCATATTTTGACTACAAAAATGATACAAAAAAAACGAACATCAAATAAAAACAGAAATCACACACAGAGAATTTATTGGCAAAACGCTCCCAGAATTGTGTGTGTGTGCGTGTACGATAATGCGTGTATTTTGTGGAGCGAACCAAGTTAATTGGGTGAATGGAGGCAATGATGAAATGTCCATTGATTTCACTTATCCAAAAAGAAAAGAAACCGTGGCTTAATTAATAACCATCGAGCACATTTTCTATCGAAAACGTCGATCTATTCTATTTGAGAAAACATTTTGAACGTCTGTGGAACACTCTCAGGTCGAACATTGTGTATGGAACACTCTTAGGCATTCAAAACATTGTTTTCTCGTCAATGTTGGCGTTGTTGTTGTTTTTTTGTGTTTAATGTTTTTTCTTGTGGAAATGGAATTCTCCAAAAACAGAAGAATTTAATCAGATGTGGAAGTGGCCGAATGTGCGCTGTGTTTCAGCTATGCATGCATTCGAACATGTTTCGAAATCTTGAATGTGTCGTGCGACTCAAAACGACATATATCGTTCATAGTTTTTTTTCTCTTCTCTCTCTTACTTCATTCGGTTGTTGCTGTTGTTTAGATGCTACGTGATGATATTCGCTCAGTGGCCACAGTAATCGCTTCATTTTACATATTCTATTTTACATAATACAAGTATTATGCATAATAGTGAAATTGACCGGCTCAAAACTTTCTGGTCATAGAACCGGCTCTCTTTCGCTCTTTCTTCGTTTTCTTCATTATATTTGAATCGCCTTCCCGAGTGTACACAATGGTCACAAGAGAAAGAAAATATGCGATCAAACTACGGCGACAAAGATATTTCAAATTAGAAGAAAAAAACAAGCGAAGAACAGTTAATCAAACAACATTATGGTTGAAGGTGATTAGTATTGATTGAACAAGATTATTTGGCTTGGATTACGTCACAAACGATAAGTTGATGATTTCCTTTGAAAGTCAGTGTATTTTATTCTTTAAATCTCTGCTCCAAACTAATTAAACTATTTTTCGCATTTCAACGAGAATTGATTTAAATCAATCCGGGTTTGCAATTTACCTTGCAGAAAAACTTTTTTTTTTGTTCGATTTCCATCAGAAATCTCCTGGCTTTTTCTATTTTTTTCGTTAGAAAAATCCGCGTTTTTCATTCAAGTTTTTGATGTAGTTGCATTTTCTTTCCCTTCTAATTTGCTATTGAGCCATTCAGTAAACATTTCAAAGGTTACAATTTGAACCAGTGTAGTAGACAGAACAATCATTAACAAAAACAACAAAATGAGCCCCGGAACAAGCACATAATCGGAAATAATACTTCACATCAATTTTCAGTTGTGATGAAAAACAAAAGTTGCACTTACGGCTCAAATGATAAAGATGCGTTTGTTCACTTCAGTTTCATCATTTGTTTTTGTTGTCGTTGTTCTTGTATTCATGTACGTGCAATTAGAGTGTGTATGCGAGACGATGATATGTTGCATGCTTTCTCTGTGCTGATTGTCATTTGCCAACTTCGTTAGATGTTTTTTTTTGTTCCCCTTGTTTGTACGGCGCGCAGCAAGTATTTTTATTTTAAATGTTTCAGTTTGCTTTGAAGATCTTTCCAAAGAATAGCATATAAAGAAAGTCAGCGAGAGAGAGAGAGGGAGATCGAGAAATTCGCATGAACACAACGCAGAAGAAGAAGAAGAAGAAGAAGAAAATAAAATCTTCGAGAAGAAGAGAAACGAAGGTTCAGTAGCCGCACAAACCAAGAACTCAAAATAGAAGAACCACATCATTTTACGATGATGTTCATCAGCGCAAATGGCATTAGTCAACGCTGCTTATTTTTTCTCCTTCTTTTTTGATAACAAAAACGTCGAATCAAGCATCGAAAACGGCTGCTTCGGCCAGAGAAAGAGAATAAAACCAAGGTTCAGTTATTAACAACTGTTTGTGTGCCGTTTTTAGTAATTGGAATTCACAATTTGATTTCTGTTGCGACTGTTCGTTCTTTGGTTGTTCTTTTTTTTTATTATTGACATACAAAATCTGGCGCTGTTGTTGTTGTTGGGTTTTTTCATTCTTTTTTTTACTTCGCTCTCTTAATATAGTCATATTAAGAATATTTATGAGACCGGCAGAAAGAGAGAGAGAGAGCGAATGTGAGCCAGTCACCGTCTCTCGATACATCATCATACCGCCGCCGACGCTGATGATGACAGAACCAATGGCATTAATACCAATCCGCTTATTCTCTGTACCATTTATGCGCATGGAATACAAACTATGATTTTATTTTACAGTTAGCCCATGTCGTTTTTTTTTCGTTTGCTTCTCTGTCACTTATTTGGTTAGGGAGATAGAGAGCATTAACAAGACTATCATCAGAATAGTGGAAAAAAGGCTACCTGACACTTGGACATAAATAGACTATATATTACCAAATTCAGGTGAAAAACGCTTTTTTTTATTCGAGCTGTGCTGTTTTTGTGTCAAATCACACCGAAAAAACATTTGAATTGTGCGCAGTGAACTTGGCTCAAAAATTCCAAACTGACGATTTCAAACGTCTCACTTCAAGTTAAAATAGCGATCACTTCAGCTGTTCAAGTCAAAATTAACTCAACACATAGCAACTAAGCACAACGTTCAACCGACATTCTCATTGAGCTGATGCTTCTTCGCTTCTTTTTTCCCGGTGATTTAGTGTGAATCCATCCGGACTTAAACATTCAAAACTGCGAACAAAAACAAGGAATATGAATTATTATTTTACGGCAAGTGAATTTTTCTGCTGTTTTTTCTTGTGTTTTACAAGAGGAACCAAAGCCACACGTGTTGTGTTCTACATGACAACTGCATTGTTATGCTGTATGCTACTTGAAATGCATGCCAACAACATATCAATGGAACATCTTGCTGTCTGTGCCTTTAAGCTGACTAACTAGAATTATTTCCTCTCTTTCTCGCTCACATTTTTTTTCTTCGTGCTCTCTCTCTCTCTCTCTCTCTCTCTCTCTCTCTGATGTAAAAGATGTTTTCTTCTTCGAACAGGAGAAGAGCCCTAATTGCAATGGAGTTCAGTTAGTGTGAGTCGCCACACTGCCATCATAGACGCTGAACTACTGATGGGTGATTTGTTATAATGGCATTTAATGATATTAATAATCAAATTACCGACTGGGAGAGTAATGCAATAGAAACCATTTTTATCTCAATGGCGAAACAAAATTCATGGAAAAAGAAACAACTTTTTAATTAGTACAAAATTAACTTACCGTTGGCATCGATTGAATTCGAATTTCCAGCATAGAAATCAATGGAATTGAAATAAAGTGTGTCAGGGTTCTGTTCATAGTACACCCACACACACACACACAAACGCTGAAGGCACATAATTCAATTGAACTCTTTACTCCAAATATAGCTCATATATTCCATCATCTCCAATTTTGGACCATTTAGATTCGATGACATGAGATTTTTGTTTTGAAACCATTGATTTCCGATACACATTTTCTGCCTTCATAATCTATTAATTTTAGATATATACATTTATTCTAAAGACTTCCATGAATTGATCGATGAATAAATAATCGAATTTTGCAATAATTTTTTCCTCTTTCATTCGGTACACATAGGACCACAACGGATAAAAGTATGGATGAAGAGAAAATGGTGGCGCGAGCCAATGAGGAGCGTGCCAAGCTATTTCAACGTTATGATCATGGCCGCGAACCAGGTGCCGAAATCGATGCATGGGAAGATCCCGGCTTTGAAATTTATCATCAAACCGATCGATATGGATTCATACACGATAAACGATTGCCACAGAAAACCGATCCTAACGAAGCAAAAGCACGTGATATCGAAATGGAACGCGTAAAAAAGTGGCTCAAAATGGTCAAACAATGGAATAGTAAGAAAACAGCCGAACAATTGCATCGACGAATTTACAAAGGCATTCCAGATAAACTACGGACAATGGTGAGTGTGTGTGTGTGTGTTTGGGATTTACATTTTTCTACTGCAAATCAATTGTATACTTTGTTATGATCAATTTGTGTGACCCTGCAGATATGGCTGAAACTGTTGAATATCGAACAAACAATGCAAGAAAATAAGAATGTATACCAGAGAATGTTGAAGGTGGCTCGTCAATGGAGCACCGAAGCTCGCCAAATCGATTCGGATGTAAATCGACAGTTTCGCGATCATTTCATCTATCGCGAACGTTATGGAATCAAGCAGAAAAGTTTATTCAACGTTCTCACCGCATACAGCATGTACAACATGGAGGTTGGTTCAATTTTTAAATCAAAACATTCGATCGAATGGCCGATTTTAAGCGAAAGTGCTTGAGAATTTCTTGAAATTATTCCAAAAATGAGATTTTTAGAAGCAATTGACAGAGACAATTCTAATTAGCAATTATTACACATTCTCTACACAGGTTGGGTACTGTCAAGGCATGTCGGGTGTGGCTGGTGTCTTATTGATGTATATGAATGAAGAAGAAGCATTTTGGGCGCTTAGCACGCTGTTATCACACGAAAAATATGCCATGCATGGCCTTTACATCGAAGGTTTTCCAAAACTAACACGATTCCTCAATCATCACGATAAAATCATTACGAAATTCCTGCCAAAGCTGAAAAAGCACTTTGATCAATACAATTTGGACTCGATACTCTATTCGTTAAAATGGTTCTTTGTGATTTTCATCGAACGAATACCATTTAGTTTATGCTTGCGGGTGTGGGACATTTATTTATTAGATGGTGAACGTGTGGTCACTGCCATGGCATACACAATCCTACGAATGCACAAGAATAAAATTCTCAAATTGAAAGATATGGATCTTATTGTACAGTATCTCCAGGTAAATGACTGTCCGTTTTTTTTTTCAAATTTCGAAGTAGATTATTCATTTTCTGGAAAACACATTCTCATATTTTTTTTAAAGCAAGACTTTGAATCTAAACTATTTTAATTTACCGATTTTAGACGAAATTGCACACTGATTTCGGTTACGATGATGACTATGTGATCAAAATGTTGGAGCAATCAATGGACGAGTTGAAACGGGCAAAGATGGATTTGCCACCGCCACCAGCACCCAATGAACTACCACAAAAACCATTTGGCGAATTCCAAGAGCAACATTTCGAGGCAAAGGTACAACAACCGAATTTTTCGAAAGAACGTTTCAACAGAATTCGAATCGATTGTTCAAATTTTAATTTTTTTTTCATTCGTTCAATGAGTTTTCTAATTGAATCAATTTGTTTACAGTCTGGCATTCGAAAACCACTGTTCACAACTTCGGAGAAAGAAGTGTTGCAAACGGTAATTTTGAAGCGCGAACAAATGGCACAAGACGCAGCCGAAACACAGCTAACAATGAACGGTTCAAATGGTCACTTAAATACCGGTACGTTGTTGTTGTTGTTGTTGTTGTTTTGTTGATTTTTCAAGACAAAATAAAACAATTTTCATTGCACCCAGTCATGCACATTTTGTACGTCTTTTTCACACTAACCAATCATGTTTTTGTTTTACATCCTTCTGAACTCACAATTTACATTTTCGGTGTAGTTTTTTTTTTGAATATTTGCACAACTTTGACGTCACATTTACGATTTGTTTGGCACGTAGTATGCGTTACCACTAGATTTTTTCTTTTTTCTACTTTGAAATAGTATTCCTTTCATTTCTATGGAGTTTATGACTCAACTAACATTTTTTAAAACATAATAATAATCGAGGGGCTAATGTGTCATGTGAGTCTCACGTGTCATTACGAAGAATGTAGGAAACTATGTGAGTCTTTCATATGAGTTTGCGAATCACTATTTTTCCGAAAAAAAAAATCGACTGACTTGCGTTAATTCGTAGATTTGTTATGAATACTCTGTACTTTCAGTGGTAGGACTCAAGAGTCAATTTGTATGAATTAGTGCAAGTCAGTACTGACTTGCGATGACAAATAAGCCGCTCGGTAAAAATCTAATTCCTACTCTAGAACAGCGCCGTAGCCAGAAAAAAAAATTGGAGGGTGCAAAATCGAATTTTTTCTTTTGTTGCACCTTTGAAACCCGATTTTGCACCCGAACTTGTTGCACCTTTGAAATTTTTGGAGGGTGCAATGCACCCATTGCGCCGGCCTGGCTACGGCGCTGCTCTAGAATGTTGACCTTTGCGGAAAAAAACCGTTGAAAATTTGCTAAATTTTTCAAAATCACCTATTCTTAAAGCAAACACCTCAAATGCAAATCAAAATTGAGCAAATATCCATTGAACGGTGATGATATGTTTAATATGTAATTCTTTGTCTCTCTCTCTTTTTTAACCTCATTTTTTTTTAAATGTACAGGTAAATCCACTTTATCTTCCGACATAAATAGTGATTTTGTTTATTGTGACGTAGATAGTATGTGTAGATATGAAAGTGCTAGCACATACTCGTATGCAACATCTTTGGCGAGTTCAATTGATTGTAACAGTTTGAAGTTTGAAAGTACACATTTGTAAATAATATTCGATATAGAAAGTAGAAAAAATGGCCAAACTACTAAACAAACAAAAAAAAAAACAATCTGTGTAAGCTGTATGGGCAAAATGGAATTGGTAATTCGTTTAATTTGGTGTTTGGTAGTTTTCTTCATCTGTAAGAGCAATTATAATTTTTATCGAATAATTATATAGATATCTTATCATTAAGTAATCATTTTCGAATATTTGATCATTATTCAATCTCAATTACGATAAGAAAAAAATTATTGCTTTTTTATTATGTTCTAATTGGCGAGCCAAGTTAAATGGTCATTAAAATAAAATTGGTAGTTTATGTGTAAAAAGCCCACAATTTCCCGCTTAGATTAAGTCAATAGGTACTTTCAAGAAAAATCATACATTAGTAGCTGATGCAAAAGCTAAATTACACTCATACATCATAGAGCTCAAATCATTGTGAATGCAAATACTCAATGTCATTTCAATGCAATGTTACAGAATCAAAAACAACAAATTGTGTAGCAATTCATATGTGCTATAGCATTTCATTTTCTTGCTGCAGCATTTATTTTCGCTCACATATTCAGCTGTTCTTTTCTATCTCGACACCATACCAACAAGAAAAAAAGGAGTTTGAAACGAAAAAAAAACACTGTCATAAACTACCAAGGAACAAAACAAAAGTCATGAATTGAATTTTTTTTATTCAAATTCCCGATCCAAAATTAAAAATCTCAAATTGAAGAATAAAAATCAGAAAATCTCGATTAAAAAAAATCCCTCAAAAATAAAAAAATATACTAATAAATGTCTAAGTGGAAAGTTTGTGGCACATTCCTTTCGATTCTCTTTTTCTTTCACCACCGCTCGTAAAACATTTTAGACAAAAAAATGTCATTTCAACTGGTTGGTACGATCTAAAAATCAAAATTCTAATCTTTTTTCCTTAGTGCTGCCCCGACTATCCATTTGAAAAAGCTAATGATTAAAAAATGGTGAAAAAAAAAACTCAAAGTCACAATACTAACAAAACCAAATGATAAAAACAGAAGCAGTTATTTTTTTAAGTCACATATATTGAACGACGATTAGTCAGATTTTTTCATGCGGAAAAAAAACAAAACGAAAACCCAAATGTAACCGATTTGTGTTCAGAAAATATATAAAAATCTTGATTAAAAGAAACCCTATCAAAATAACAGTTTATTGTCGGGAATTGTGTGAGTGTTACAGTACCTTTATATTAGACACAAGGATTTTTTTTAGTGAATCAGAGGAATCAAGTAATTCGGGGTTTGCATGTTCCTCTCTCAGTGTGTGTCTCACTATCTGAAATCTGTTTGCATGGTCTGATATCTCTGAACACACGGGTGGGTTTACAGTAAATTTGTATTATTTTCTGCATGACATGTTAACAATTTGCACCGAGTATATTAGTTGAAAACACAACAAAGCACTTAATTTATTTTGTACATTTGTCAGAGAGGTCGTTTTTGATTAATTGTTGATGAAATCGGATTTAGGTATAAATGTTCCGGAATCGGAGGATGGTGGATCGTTGCTAGGAAGCAGTCGCAAATCATTGGCCGATACATCAGTTACATCGACGGCTGATTTGAGTTTATTCTCCGGCGGGCAACGATCTCAGGCATTTGATATATGTGTGGATGACAATCGAAGCCTTAGTGAAGATGATGCAGAAAATCAAAGTAGTTCGGGGTAAGTTGAAACATCTCCAACAAATTTTATTGATGGTCTAATCTTTGAAAAAACATTGATAAAATTTTCAAAATTTTCTCTTCGAACTTTTAATGAATTTTCTTCTCTTTCGTCATTTCAGGTCGGCTTTTTGTTCGCTCAGTGTCGTTGGACGTACAACAATGGTAACACCAACACCGCGAACAATATCACCGCAAGACATTGTTCGAATATACGTGCCACCAGCACCGCCCGACGAGCAAAAGCATTATCAAAATGTACCGAAGCTCAAAACGTCGCCAAGCACCAAAGATTCAAAGCCAAATATATCTGTATCTGAAGCAAATAATATTCAAAAACATCCAAATAACAATAATAAACTCATAAGTAGCAATGGAAATGTGAGCGCAAGTCCGGAGAAAACGTCATCGGCGCCGAGTCAAATGGCAATGCCATCAGCATCGTCAATGGCGGCATGGTCGTTAAAACCGCTAACGGGCCTGTCAAACGAGAGCAATAAAAATTCAATTATCTATGGATCGGACGATTTGACGCCAGTACATTGTGCATTTAATCAGTCGGACGATGATTTGGCGAAAAGTTTTGCGGACGCATCACTCAGCACGACCAGTAACAGTCTTGGTTACATTGGCATCGGTGGCGCAGGTGCATCGTCATCATCACGACGTGGTAGTCTCAGTCGAAAATCACCGTCAACCGTTTTCGAATCGAATATGATAATGGAATGTACACATATGATCAAGCGACGGCTATCGAGCCAATCAAATTCGTCAATAAATTTCGAAATCAGAGACAAATCGAGTGCAGCAAATAGTGAAAATATCGGCAACAGTTCACTGTCACTACGATTAAATTCGAATGGTGAAAAGAAAATGACATCGTTCGAACAATTGGCCCGATACAAGGGCAGTACATCCGATGAAAAATTAAACGATGAAATCGATAAATACTCGCCGGACGATGAAGAAAACTATTCGTATTCGTATTATAAATACAAATCGGCTGAGTCAAGACAACGCAAAAGTCCGACAACATCGGTGGAAAGTAGCAAGAGATTCGTCAGCGAAAGTAATGTGCAGTATGAATCAATATCGATGCGTCAATCGTCCAGAGAGATTGAATATCAACCGTTGAACAAACGTCGTCCGAACAGCAGTGGTAACGAAACTAGTCTATTCCAATACGAAACATTTTCGGTGGCACCGGCAGCCAATTCCACGGCTATACCACCATCATCCAATACCACCATCGCATCATCACACAAAACCACATCGATCAAAGAATACAAGCGATTCTATGGTACCAGCAACGAAGACACATGTGATGAAGAGCTTAAAAAATCATCTGACGAATCGCACACATCTAGTCCAAATAGTAAATCCGTTTTAAATTCGCCAGACACAATTCCATTGTTACAGTCGTCGCCACCATCATACATTCCAAAGTTAAAGCTAAAATCACCGGTGTCATCGACGATGCACTCTGTTTACAGCGATATTGGATCACCGCAACTAGAATCACCGGTTAAACCGTCACGCATCCCCGTTATGCATCTGAATGAACGGAAAAATAGCAACACAAAAATTATGACATCACCAACGACACACGTGTCGTCCAATTCAAGCGAACTCAACCGTGTATTGCCACCAATTGAAACAGTTAGCAGCAGCAGTAGCAGTAACAATAGTTTGAGCAGTCGAAAATTGCAAAAAACACCAACGTCACCAAATGGACAACCAACCATTGGGTTTGCCATCGCTAATCGACCCATGAAATTACAATCGAAAAATGGCACTACACTCGCTGACTCGAATACCATTCGTATCAAAGTCAATCAAAATGATAAACAATAAACACGGCAAACACAAATCAGTCAATTCTTTTCTCGGATTTCTCCAATTCACAACTATTTCGTACATGTGTCTGAGTGTGTGTGTGTGTGTTTTAGTAAGAATGTTCTGAAATACTCATAAACGCTCTCGACGCTCCTATCTTTCGATCAACACAATGAATCGCATCTATCGAACAGAATGGAATCTTCGACAAGGCTCGAATTTATTTGTATATTTTTTTTCTCGTTGAACTTAGTTCAAGCATATTTTGAGACTTCTATTTTTGAACATGCATTTTGATGTGTTTGCATTTTGAAATGCACTTGAAACAGAGAAATACCTCTAACTGAACTGTAGACGGTAGCAAAATGAAAAAGAGTTCATTCACGAATTTGGGTTGCATCGAAAGTTATCATTATTAGCAACGAATCAAACGCTTGTCTCGAATTTTATTTTTTTTATGATCCTGAGAAAGAGAGAGAGAGAGAGAGAGAGAGAGAGAGAGAGAAAGAGAGAGAAAAATCTTAAATAAATCGACATCAGACGATAAATATATATTTTTTCCCTCATGCATTTTTGTTATACAATTACAGTCAAGTGACACTTTCTGATCGCCTCCGATCATAATCCCACAAAACAGTCACATCAGCCTTAAATCATTATCTTTACTATGGAATAGTCACTTGTAGAAATGATCAAAATGTTTGAAGCGTATTGAATACACTGAACTATATATCTATGTATAGTAATTGCTGTGGTAATCAGTTACTGTCCCAGTTCACATTATGAAATTGCAAAAGATTCATATTTATTGAATAAATGCATTTAGTTAATTCAATCCTTCTTTTTGTCTTTGGCCCAGAGGCTTAGACTATGAAGATTCTCTTCGTGCTCCCACGCCGTTCTGTGGTTGAAACCGATGGTCAGTTCGACATACTTTCATTTAATACATGTGAATTGTAATTAGTTAAATTGGATTCGTTTCGGTTGCCGTCAAAAAACAAAAAGAGGTCGCGTTGATGATGAAAAACCAATATAGATAAGAATTTTTTTCTGGGCAGTTTCATTTTCAACTCTTTTCACACCCTCAAAGTGCTGGATAAAAACCGCAACAAATTACAAAGAAAATAGCACTTGAGGAAAATAAAATCTTAAATTATGGCTATCGAACGAAAGAAGCAAAAAAGTTTCCAAAAAAAGGATGAAAAAGATATTATTTTCAAAATAAAATGGAACGAATGTTGCGTCGACTTGTCAATGTAAATAAATTTGATGTAGAAATTCAAGAACAAAAATTGGTGTTAAAGCAACAATTCTTCCAACACTAAGAACAACAAACTTATGGCTTAAGATAGTTGAATTCACTAAACAAGAAAAATTAACTGACTAAGAAAAATCTGATACGAATCTCATTTCGTTTTAAAGCGGAAGAAAAAAAAACTATGTTGTTGTACATGTGGATCCGAATTGCTGAAATTAGTTGTAGTCGCTGTGTATTCTATTGATGAAGAAAAAGAAGAAGAGGGGAAAACCTCAAGAAAATGCTTAAAAAATAAAATTCAAAAATTCTATCTAAAATTGATTGAATTTAGTCAATGTGTTCGCTTTGAAACGTAACAAAAACCAGAAAGTGTCACGTAAACAAAGGAACGAACATTTCAACAATTATTGGTAATGAAAAAAAAAAAACAAAAGAAAATTTGATTGAAAGCAATATTATACGAAAAACCTGCATTTCTAAACGGAATTGCCAAGAATACGAAGAACTAAGAATCCTCGCCGTTTCTTTTTTTCCCTAATAACTTTTTTTTCTGATCTTGACCCATATTCATTTGTGGATGTTATTTTACTTTAAGTGTTATTGAAGTGATCAATGCTTAGCAATGCAAAAAAGTGTATTTTTTCTGATCAGGAATGTCATGCATTTTATAGAGCTCTTGATTTAATCAGCCTGTTGAATTCAATTTTCAGTTGAATTTGTAATGCACAATGCGCGATCACTCGTTTTCCCACAAAAGTGTTGACTTTTGGTATTTATCTGTCAGTATTTATGCATTTTTGTCAATTTTCCAGTCCTCTGTGTGTGCAACAGGGACGTATTTATTTCTCTTTTTTTCTGAATTAGCGCGATAGAGCTAATGAGGTACATAAAACAAATAGCATGTTGCAATTTACTTTTGAAATGTACCTCACATTAGTTCAAATGAAAGCCGTCATGTAATCATACGAACAGCGCTCAAATCGTTTTGTAGAATTTTCATACAAAATGACAGTGAGGCACTTTTGCAACATGCTATTTATTATAATTCTTTAAGCACTTGAAAGGAATTACAGAGGTAACAAAACACAACAACAGAAGAAAAAAAATGAAAATTTATCAATTAGCAAGTTTAAAAAACAAATTTCAAATTGATTAATCAAATCAAGGAAAAAAAAGATTATGAAGAGACACAAATTATGAACAGATCTGAACAAATTTTGAATTATATTGATATTATGGAAAAGTTTATCGAACGATAAGAATGAATGGAATTAAATTGCATATTTTTTTTTCTTGACAGAGTATTTATCTAGTTGGAAATATTCAAATATTAAGAAATAAATTAATTTAAAAATGACTACAGAAAACAATTGATTTTGAACAGAAAAAATTGGAGACGTGTTTTATTTTCCATCTTTGGTTTGTTTTGAATGTTTTTCTAGATACAGATAATACAGATATCATCCGATGTTAGATTCTTTTGGTGTTTTTCTTGAAGCCAAACATTCCAAAGAAACTCAATTGGGCTCAGCTCAATTATGGGTAAGTACATAGGTAAGAGAATTCAGTGCAGAGAGCACTGAAACATACACATTCATGGACAAAGATCCGATTACAATTTGTGTCATAAATTTATCATCTCACATGAATTTACATGGTTCGATAGTCACAAAACCAAAATGTACCAAACAGCCAACTATTTGTAAATAGCTCAGCTCAATATGCAGCCATACGGAATGTCTGTATTCAAGTACTGCGACTGGATTAAGAAGCATCTGATAGAAAGTAAAAGTGGCAACAATGACAACAATGGCAAAAGTGCCTTAACATGCAGCATCTCCATCATTATTTTGGCAGCAGTTTCAATGATAAATCGCATCCTAACATTTAGACTTCAAATCATCCTAACGGCTCATTACGGATCCTCCTTTAAAATTTACAAATCGCCAATAAAAATGACAAAACGGCAATAAAATTGACAAAAAAATTCAACAAAATTGACAACAAATCGAAATAAATGTAACAAAACAAACAATAAAATTAACATTACGTTCAATGAAATTGCCAGATTGAGAAAATAATTTTGACAATATAGGCAATAGAATTGTCAAATTAGAAAATAAATCTGACGAAATGGTTATAAAATTGACATTTTTTGCAATAAATTTGACGTAAATTTATCTATTTGGTGCTTGCTATTGTCAAATTTATTGCAAAAAATGTCAATTTTATAACCATTTCGTCAGATTTATTTTCTAATTTGACAATTCTATTGCCTATATTGTCAAAATTATTTTCTCAATCTGGCAATTTCATTGAACGTAATGTTAATTTTATTGTTTGTTTTGTTACATTTATTTCGATTTGTTGTCAATTTTGTTGAATTTTTTTGTCAATTTTATTGCCGTTTTGTCATTTTTATTGGCGATTTGTAAATTTTAAAGGAGGTTTTGTATTTAATCCATCCTAACGTGTGCTGAACACACGCATAGCAAATTTAAATCGTATAATCTATGCTTTATTTTGCTCATGTATATAATTCTGGGGTCAACAACATCAAACATGAATACATTTGTGGTTTGAGTAAATCCATTTCGTAGATGATTTGGATGCGAAACTGATTTCTCAATCGCGATTTCCTCACCATCGAAATTTATTGATGCCCAGCCAACAAAATCTCGGCAATTTGAAGACACATTGTAGTGTGTCGCACAGGCTGCTGTTGTGAGAATGTGTATTTCTCATAGCGACAGCACATAACGGGAGAAACTCTCCCGTGTGCGGATATCTATGTAAGGGATGTCTCCATTTTGGCGTCTCGTATTTCTTCTTTTCTTCTTTTCTTCCGGCGATAATGCGTGGCTCTTGATCCACAAATACTGATCATTCATAGAGTATAACAATCACTTGTGTAAAAAGAACTAGAAATATTCCCATTGTTCCCATGTTTTAAGTCGAAATATCACTAATTTAAATTTTCATGCGTGGTTTTAAGATATTAACTGATTCAGTTTAAAATTACTACAAGTGTTTTTATGTTCTAAAAACATTACCTTGTTCCTATTTGATATTGTCTCAGACAAAAAGTTGAAGTAAATCCTCATCAAATCCGTAAAGTATACCAAGAAACAACGGTTTTTGGTCGTCTTTAATGAGGCAAACATCGACAAACAATTGTCAAACATCGACAAACAATTGTCAAACATCGAATAATATCACATTATTTAAAATATATTTAGAAATCATTTATAAAAACTTATAATATGATACATATGATAATTATTCCCTGAATAGACAATCCAGGATCAAATCCATTCCTTCGATTCGTCAATTCGTAGTTCGAATAGAAATTTATTACAAAAATGTGTTTTACAAATGTGTCTGAGCAATCAATTCCATATGCATGACACACGATGAGTGTGTAACAATTTGTTGTATACGATTCATGGCATCGATCCTTATAATAGATGCCTTCATTAAATTCGATTCGTTGGCAGTGGAGACGATATACTCCCCCATTCTGATGTGGACTCAATGGACGTTCTGGCTACGGACGAACAGTTGTCGTTTAAAATTATTTCAATGCGATCTAAACGACAGATGAAAAAAACATTGATTATAGATAGATATTGGGCAACACATTTTGCAAACACAATTAAAAAAAAACAACCCAATTGAGGAAATCGAAAACAGAAGACTAAACAAAAAAAAATCGAACTAGAAATCCGTGTTTATTTTAAATGCTCGGGTTTTTGTGAACACAAGGGAAAAAAATCGAATGCTTAAAAATTAAGTTCATTGTTGCTAACGATTAAAGTCTAAACTCAAAATTATTTTGTTAAAATGAATGTTTAAAATGTTATAAAAATAATTGTTTTTTCCCCTAAATGTAAACACTTTTTCGTGGGATTGAATTGATATTCGAACTGTGTGTCTGTTGGATGAGGCAAACAGTTGTCTAAGAGATTCGTTGTTCTTAAAAGTTTCCTAAAAAATTATGTTCCGAATGTATATTAAATGAACGTTTGTTACTTAATTTTTTTTTAATGTAATCAGTAATATAATTTATGTTGTGTATCGGGTGAGGCGAATATAAATGTTGAGTTTGTGAAGGAGTTCACGATTTGTTTTTTTCTTTTTTTCTTTTTTTCTTTTTTTCTTTTTTTCTTTCTCTCTAAAGACGGGTAACTTCGGTTGATTTATCACTTTCATCGCTGTTAATCGACTGCGAACTAACGGCTAACGATGTTGCCAAACTGGTGGCCAAACTGTTTAGACTTCGAAATGTCTTTATTGAACCGGCTATAGGTAATCACATTGGTGCGATGGAATTGTTTCAAACAAACGTAAACCCAAAAATAAAAAAAAAGAAACAGAAAACAAAAATAAGAATGAACGAAAAACATAACGCACAATTGAAAAATAAAACAAGCAAATAAAATAGAAAAAAATAAACTGGTTATAACTGCAACCGGAACTCACCGACGGTATTGTCATATGAATAATTTGAGACCATATCACTTTGAGCATTTTCCTCTTGTCTGTTGAAAAAAGAATGTGTGGTTTTGTTAATTCCCGTCATTTCTTCGTTGGAAAACATATTTCAAAACCTAGATGTCTGTGGCACACACACACACACTTACCGATGTATAACGGTTTCCGTTGTTTTTCGTTCGACATCGGTGAATTTGGTTTTTCGGCGTCCAACTTTTGTATCGAATTCGGGCTCAATGAATCGTCCAAATTCATATTTCGGTAGTTCACATTCTTGTGGCGGTGGTGGCAAGTCCATTTTATACTTTCGCAGATCGCCCATCGATTGTTCTAAAACTTTTATCACAAAATCATCATCATAACCGAAATTTTTGTGTAAATTAATCTGTAAGAATTCGGTCATTTCGTCCATATCTCTCATGTTCATTAATTTCTTTCGATGTATCCGTAAAATGGTGAACGCCATGGCAGTCACTACGCGTTCACCTTCGATCATATAAATGTCCCATATACGAAGACATAGGCTAAACGGAATCTGAAATAACAACAGAGAGAAATAGCAAAATAAGATAAAAACTGATAAGCAAAAATGGTAACACAAACAATAAATTATACAATACACAAATCCAAAAGCAACAACGAAATCACAATAAAAATTATGCATAATGATTTAATCTACGGTGATAGAATGTGCGACTAAAAAATAATTGTCAAAATGTGTGTTTGACGTTGGTCATATGACAATGCCGCCTCAACTTACCCGTTCTACGAATATCACAAAGAACCATTTGATTGAGTAGAGAATGGCGTCGAGCGAATGTTTTGAGAAGTGTTTGTGTAGCTTGGGTAGAAATTTGGATAGGATTCGATCATGATGACTGAGAAATCGTTGTAGTTTGGGAAATCCTTCGATAAATAGGCCATGCATTGCATATTTTGGATCGCACATAAAAATGCTCAATGCCCAAAAGGCTTCCTCTTCGTCCATGTACATCAGCAAAATGCCAGCAACACCGGCCATCCCTTGACAATAGCCCAGCTCCATATTGTACATACTATATGCGATGAGAACATTAAATAAACTTCGTTGCTTCGTACTGTATCGTTCGCAATAGTAAACATGTTCACGGAACTGTCGATTCACATCGAAATCGATTTGTCGTGTCTCCGTGCTGAATGTTCGTGCCAATTTCAACATTTGCTGATAGACGCCCGCATTCTTGGAAATCATCTCATCAATGTTCAAAAGACGTTTCCATGCTTCGGGTCGCAACTTGTTCGGGATGCCTTTGTAAATGCGGCGCCTTAGCTTCTCTTGTGAGCTCAATGTCACCTTGTCCCAGCGTCGCAACATATTCAGCCATTTCTTTTCACGAATCAACGATAGCTCCAAATTTCGTTCATACTGATTATTATTCACACTGTTATTATTATCGTTTGCATTTCGATCGTTCTGAATGAATCCATATCTAAAATGAGAGAATACTTTTGTTTTACTCATTTCCGTCCCTTTCAACTGATTAGATTATGGATTTCGTTACAGCCAATTTAGCTGTAATTTTGCCCATGAGACTTTATGTAAATTTATCATTTATGATGCAAACTCTTTTGACCGAAAACTCACCTATCAGCACGATGGTATACCTCGAATTTGGTTTCTTCCCATAAATTAATCAAACTATTATCCTCTCGACCTTTATCATAGCGTTCGAAAATCTCGTCTCTTTCTTCTTTGGCCCGCAATAACAATTCGTTTTCATTCATATTCATAGTGCGATGAGTCACTGATGATGTAAATAAACGCCACTCAATTCGATTCGCTTAGAAAAAAAACGATACCACAGCCTGATTTGAAGTCCCATTAAAAGTGCTCGGCACGCGAGTTAAATTCTATATGTATGTGTGTGCAACGGGGTGGATAGTCGTTAATTTATTTCATTGATATTAATTAAAATCAGAGAAGATTCTGTTCGTCGTAAATTGATTTACTGTGTTGGATATTGTGTGTCCTTCGGATTGATTTATCGCTGGAGCTGCTTGTTGATCATCAAGCTCACACATCAATCGCGACACTTTTCTCTATTTCCTGTGAAAAACACACAACAAAAGCCAATGAGTAAATGATTGCAGAAGTAAAATAGTGAATGAAGCCATTTGTTTGTTACATTAACAAAGGGTAGAATGGCAAAACAGATGATAACAACATCAAAACGTGATACAGAAAACAATGAGCAATTGAAAAGCGAACGAAAAAAAAGAGAAGATATCAATATGAAAGATAAAAATAGAAAATAATTGCGTCCGATCATTGCACCCCTCGAAGTTTGATTTCACAATTGAGACATTTGAACTTTGTAACATTTTGCAATCAAAACGGTCCTATTTTGTATAATTAATCATTTATCGCTCAATTTAACTTAAAAAAATGAAGGCGTTTCTTGTGTGGTGTTATTTTTTTGTTGTTGTTGGGAAGTACTCGTTGATTTTTTTTTAGTTGTGCGATACGCACAAAACATACAGTGCAGCCCAATATGACATTTGTCAGCTATTAAATGCACTTCGTTTGGTATGTTCCGATTTTTTTTTCGTTAGTTCAGAGCTTGTTTTCTTTTTCGGGTAAATCACGCAAATGACCAAAATATGTGACACATTTTGAAATATTCCATCAAATCACACACAGTACGCATACAAATGACAGGAAAAGAAAAACATACAAAACGAAGAGAAAATAACACTACACTTGTTTTGTCGATTGCGAAAAATACACAAATACCTCACGTATTACTTTCGTCTCGTTCGAAAAATTCGTGCATTTGAAATTGTCCAATGTACAAATATATGTCTCAAAAACACTTCAGCATACATTTATTTACCATTTCAATTGAGAAATCGCTTGATTCATCTCCGATTGATTTGTTGTTTAGTTTTTCGGTTTCGATTATCAATTGTCGTTGAACAAAATTAAAAAAAAAGAAAGAAATTAATTAGGGAAAAAAATGAAATAAGCTGATGGCTGTCCTTCTGTTCCCTCCCGTCTGTCAAACACTCGCAGAAGAAAACAAAATGAACTTGGATCAAAATAATAATTAAAATAGTTTCGTCTGTGGTAGAAACACAAGACAGAGCGAGAGTGGGAAATACAAATGAAAGAAGAAACAACTGACGTGAACGAAATGTCTTGCAGACTTTGAGTATTTGACATTAAGTACCGACATATTGCATCCAGTTGGACATTACCAACGACATCTGTATGCCACTTTCGGTGACTGCATGGATAACATCAACATTGCAGATTAACTTTCGCATTTCATGCGAAAATGCTCATGCAAACTGAAAATGTTTGCTTCGATTTTATTGAATAATTTGATTTAGAATTTGGATTTTATTCAAGTGATTTGAACGGAATTTGAAGTTGAGAAAAAATTTAGTTATGAAATTCATTGAAAATTTCAATCTCAATAATTGGAATGAAATGTTGAACCAATCCAACAAGAAAAACAATGCATTTCACACATCAGATGTGTGCTTAGTAAGCTATGCTTACTGGAAGTAAAATGGTCTTTTGAATATGTACTTAACCATCGCTGGAACTTTGGCCAGTTGTTTACTTTATTTGGACTTACTTTGAAATGGAAATATTCGCACTTTCGATTTGTTTCCATGAATGTTGGCTCAGAAACCAGTAATATCAATGTTTAAGAAATCAAAAAAAAATGAGGTACAAATTTGGAAAAGAAACAAATGGCAATTTGAAGGAAAAATTCAAACGTTTGAATTTTCATTTCCTTTCTGAACCAAGAATGAACTTGGTTTCACTATGAAATTTGTGGTCTTCTGGTGTTCACTCTATATTCTTGAATTCAACCGATTTTCAGTCAATTTCTCCCAAATAAATGGTTTAGAAATCTCTTAAATTGATTATTTGATATTTTTTTTTCAAAATATGATTTCATAAAAAATATAGTTCGAAGTCCGTTCTCAGCAAAAAAAAAACCAAATTGCCGGATGGTCATCGGGCATAGTACTTAAGACCATTTTAATTCTCAAAATACCATTGAAGTCGAATGCTGGTTCTGTGAATGGCCTGGAAGTCAAACAACGTTGACAGTCACCGACGCGCTGTTTATTTTCCAGCAACAACAACAGGCAACAACAAAACAGACAACATCCAACCGTATACATATATTCCCATATCTACAGCGTAAAGTGTAAACACAAAGAAATGTTGTTATATGCGGCGCGGCACATTGCACACACACACATATATCTCTCTATCTCTGCCATGCGTCTCGTCTCACCTCTCATTCACTCTTTCGCTTTCGGTTTGAAACTGAATACGGGGGTTTCGCTATGTAGACGGTGCCGCTGATTCAAGTGTTTTCGGTTTAGTAATACGCGTACGTTTGTGCGGTAAACATCATATTCGTTCCGGTGGGTTATCTGTCGCTCGTTGTGAACTCGGTTCGAGAATATAAACATAGTGAAGCCAAATCCTTCGAAACGGATTTTATTTTTGTCGGAGCAAAAAGAATCTGATTTCAATTATTATTCAATTATTCGTGATTGTTTGAAATATTTGCGTGATATAAGTGTTGACGAAAATAAAGTGGACAAATAATAAAAAAGCAACAACAACAACAACAACAACAAAGAAAGAATTCGGCATTTCATCTTGTTAAGAGTTCATTTCGTTTTATTGCATGTTGTTGACGATATTTTTTCGGTGTATGTGTTGTCACACGCGTTTCGCAAGCCGAATGCAGTGATCAAACAGTTTGCGATGAACTAAATAAACAGTTCATAAAACGCTGATAATTTAAGGAATCAAACAGAAAACGGCGCGGCATTTCAATCGAACGTTTTGTATTTCGTGTGCATTGCAGTTCTGCTGTTTTTTCTTTGCCATCGTTTGCAAATATGTAGAATGTGCCAAAGTTTTGAATTGAAATCGATCAAAAAGGCAAAATGAAACGGAACAAAATCAAAGGCAACACAAACTGTCTGTCATGAATGTGTAAACATTCAATGTGTCTTTTTTAGTTTTGGTGTAGTATTTGTCAATTTTTGAAAACAGCCACACACACAAGTACTAACGCTGCATTTCGAAACGAATTTTTCGAGTTGAGGCCAAAGAAGATCAACAAACTTCCTCGTATTTCAAACAAAAAGAACGTTTAACAAGAACGAAATTTGAAAACGACGACGAAGACGACGGATAAAAAGGCAGTGACAAGTGCTTCGTTCATGCACAAAGACCAATTCAAAAAGTATAAAAATAGAATTTTCGAATTTCATGAAAGAATTCACGAGATTTGTGTTTTGGTCGTTGTCGCTTTTGTATATCTCACTCAATCGTCGGTCGTGTGTGTGTGTGTAAAGAGTAAATTCTCTTGATGCGTACATTACTTGATGTTGTTTCGATGCGTCATTTGATAGAATATATTGAGCCGCCACCGCCGAAGAAAAATCAGTTGTAAAACGTCTTCAAACGAAAAAAAATAACCGACCAACAAACTAAAACTGCACAAACAAAAAGTGGGAAATAGAAGGAATATTGAATAAGTTATTTCCAAAATAATATCTGTGTTAAAGTGAACCGCACCGATGATGTTTTTCATTTTCCCTTGACAACGTTCATCACATTTCGAAAATATTCTTTTCAAACGATTCGGTTGTATTTTTCTCTCTCCTTTATTTATTTATGTGTTTTCCCTGTGTGTACTTAACAAGCAGCAAGCCAAACGAAAAACGTGCACATATGCGAGCGTGCTAAGGAAATTGTACACTAAAATATACCTGCTTGCAAACACACATCAAAAGAGACGTCCTCTCTGTATATCTCTCTCTCGACAACAACATCAACATCGTTGTCGACAATAAACAAGGGAAAAGTAGTCGGTTGAGTGTATTTTGGCAAGTGTTTGAAAAGTGTCGTGTATTTTGTGGGCTTTTGTGCTAAGAAAGAAAATGAATGCTCAATAGCAAAGTGTGTTGGAGAAGAAGAAGAAAAAAACCTCCGAAATTGTATTTCAAACGACGAAAAAAATTTATTGTCTTGAAATTGAACAAATTTTGAACGAAACGACCGACAGCAAAAAAATATGCCAAAACAAGTATATTCATAAGTTGGTTTTGGCATTTAGCCCGAAAGAAGAGGAAGAAGTCGTTCGTTTGTATAAAACCGGCGAAAAAAAAGGTGAAGAAAACGAATCTTATAAAACCATGTCGTGCCATCAAAGACAGAGACTTTCCGGTGTGCCGGAAGGCAGAAAACGAAGCGAATGGTGTCGAAAACCACCACCAGCAGCAGAAGCCAACCTGCACCGGACCTATTTAGCCAGTACAGTGTTTACTATTGTATTGCTGGTGCAATGGTCGGCCGGCACCTGTCATGCAATGCAACAGTTGCATGCTGATCAAACTGATATCGTGTCGTCCAGCGATCTATCAACATCCGTACCGTCACACAATAAATGCGAACCGATAAATATATCGATATGCAAAAATATCCCATACAATATGACCATTATGCCAAATTTATTCGGTCACACGCGACAAGAGGAGGCCGGCTATGAGGTGTATCAATTTGCGCCGCTCGTCAAAGTGGGCTGTAGTCCGGATTTACAATTTTTCTTATGCTTATTGTATGTACCATTGTGTACGATACTCGATCATCCGATACCGCCGTGTCGAAGTTTATGTGAAAGTGCACGTGTCTGTGAGACGGTCATGAAAACGTTTCGCATCGATTGGCCGGAAAATTTGGAATGCTCCAAATTCCCCGAAGATGGTACGGGCAAATTGTGTGTGGGCCAAAATAATAGCAATGAAAATGATTCGTCGTCAACGAAAAATGCATTTCATCCGACCAAAGTGATTGATAGTGATACACGACGACGAAATAATGCGCCGCATCATTCGAGTGGCGGTGCCGGTGGTATGACATCACGGAATTTCCGATTTGTTTGCCCATTGCAACTGAAAACGCCGGCTGACATGGGATACTCACTGAAAATTGGCGGTTCGGTAAGTCTTTGACTAATGAGCATATTTTTTCTGGGGGTTTGGTTTTCGTGTCTTTTTTACTTGGTTTTTTTTTTCGGTGGGGGGAAGGGGTGGAAAGACCAAGTTTTTAATTGAAAATTGCTACTTTAACGAGGTACAGAAGCCAAATAAACACATTTCACAATGAATGAATGCGTGGATCAGTATCTCTCGATGTGATTTAGCTGTACATGTTCTTTTTTTCTTTTCCTGTCATCATCAACGTCAGCTATGATATCAGCCGAAAATGTGTGTGTATGTGTGTGTGTGAGACAACGCGAGAAGCAAATGAAAAAATCCAGCCACATTTAATTAATGTTCAAAATTCAGTGATTTTTACAATGAAACGCTCATGTATTTTAATGTTGATGAGAATGGTTTTTCGCGAACGAAAAAAGAAAGAAAGAACAACAAACAACGCACAAAAGAACCCAACTGAAGAGTTCAAAACAAACGAAGCATCACAAAAATTTCAAACGACCACTGAAATGAAAGCGTTTTTGCAACCAGCTCGCTTGCGTTTTGAACGCGCCGATCAATTTCGATATAGCCGGCATTCTTTCCAACAATGTAATTCGATTATTGACGATGGCCTGAGTACGCAAATTAATACACGATACACGTTGAATGGGCCCAAATGGAATGAATGAGAAAAAAAAGAAATGGAAAATACAACGAAAGCAGACAGAGAAGCAGAAAAAATATGACGTTTAACAAGAACAGTTTGCATATTTTTCGGCAAACATACGGTGGTCCGTTCGTCTTTTTAGTATGTTGTTTTTTTTCCTCTCTTTCTTCGTCGTCGTCTTTCCATCTGGTTCTCGTATTTTGTTTTATTTTTTGCACACCAACTGCGAATTATTTCTTCATCACTGCTGCTTCTTGGCGATGGCATTTTTTTCTGCTTTGCGACCGTTCAGTTTGTCGATCAATGGTTCACTGCACCAATTTCTGTTGGTTCTGTCACATATACACACACACACGAAAAACAATAAAGTTTGAACCAAAGAAACCAATAAAGTTTGAGTGAGTTAATATTGTGTCGCCGATGCCACTGTCGCCGCCAGCGAGGCCGAGGCAAATATTTCCCATTCTCAAATCAAGAGATAAAGTACGGCGCAGTGAAATATATTGTTCACGGCGGCCAATACAATCAATTGCCATGCCATTCTAATATCATTAATCTGAAGTGGTAATATGATCGGGGATCAGATCCATAATACCAGGCCAAACTGTCCAAACGATATTTTACGTGACCGTGTGTATTGTGTGCTCGGGCATTCTGGTAACTTGATATCGAATGTGCTGAACTCTCGACATCGCATTAAAACACATAAATGTGTCAGTTTTCATGTACGCATGGATTCTTATTCTGCCTTCTTCTTTTTTTTATTCACTTTTACGAAATATTGCACTCTCACAGAGAGCAATTGGCTTCTTCACGCCAAAAATCCAAATACACAGACCTTGTCAATTCGATTCGTATTCATACGATGGACTGAAAGAACGGGCCATAAAATGACCGGTTTAATAGTGAGTTTCAATCAGAATTTTACAAGTTGTGTGATCGTTTCAGCAAATGGACTTGTTTAATGATGAGTTTCTGTGGAGAGAATCGCTTTCGAATTGAAAATAAAACCTTTTTAATGGTTTTAACAAAATTTGAATTTCAAACGGGACTTTTTCTCTCTCGTAAATTCGGTGTGTCCGACAACAAGACATCATCACGTTTTTTGTGTGCTATTTATAGCATCGTTTATCACAAATCAAAAATCGATCAAAGGAAACGCAAAAATTCACTCTGTGAACCAAACACTACAAGGAAAACATTAACATGAAATGAAATTTGTGTGTAAAACAACACAGAAATTCGTTAGAAGTTGTATTTTCGATTCCTCAAAAACATATATTCTCTTCCGTATTTTCTAAAGAAAATCTTCTGAAGTCTGTACATTTGTTCTTGCGTTTGATATACGAGGAAAGAATGAAGCGAACCGACGCTTAATTCAATCTATTCGGTTCAGTGTGAAGTTCAAATAAGGAATACACGATGACCGAGCATATATATATACATATATATCTGATTTCGATTCGGGCTGGAGTAATTACAACTGGATAACGGGCGAATCTCTTTCGCACAGGTCATATTTCACATTGGACTCAACAACATGCCCTTACCATATAATATGCGATTTAAGACACGAAAAGTGAATATATATACGGAATCGCGATAGCAGAAAAAAAACCACTGTATATTGAACAACAACCATTAACTAATCTCTGAACTTGATCGCACTCGATAAATTATTATTCAATCGCCGGACGACCGGCGAAAATGGAAACATGCACAACGCATTAAACAGCGTTGAAACAAAGACTTCGCATGAATGAAGAGAGCGAACGAGCGAAAGAGATTTAAACGCCACCCTATGGTTAAAGGTCAGATCCGCGGTGTACGACGTTGAAATGTACACCAAAAACGGTGCATATACTCATATCCATGCAATGTGTTGTGTATACTTTTCTCTTATATGTGTCACGATATTCCACGCCGTTCTTCATTGCATTTCAACACCCAGTCAGAGACAGAAAAATTCACACATTCACATTCTTATGGAAAACTGAATAAAAAAAAAGAGCAAGAAAATTATCCATTTATACTAATTCAATATTAATTTGTAACCCATTTAGCGTAATGTGTCTTGTGAGTACTATGGGGAACACAAATTCTAATGTGATTTGAGAAAAACTCTTGAGAAAAAAAAATTACACAAAATGTTCGGCCTCATGTGAAACTCACTGATTTCTATACGGTCATTTGTGCTTTTAACTCAATTGTTTGTTCTCATACCGCCTGATGTGGATGATAGCTTGGATAAAGAGAAAAATGTTTTTTGGTGAATGAAAAAAAAAAACTGTTGCTCTTCTGGAACAAAAGAAGTTCTCTCTTAAAAGAAAAATAAACGATTTTTTTTTCTTTCAAGGGAGAAAACAGATTTTCAAACGAAAGTAAATTATGATTTTCTTTTTGGGATCATATGATGCTATTTACTGAGCACTTGTCACTCCTTTTTTCGGCTGCAGCTCAGTTCATATTTCAACTGAATATAAAAGTGCATTGGTACTTCTTTGATTTTCTCATGAAATCGAGTCGATTGAATCGACAAACACATAAACAAATCTCAACGAGACGATCGCATCGAATTTGTTTGAAATCGAAATTCGCATTAAATCCTTTTTATTCTCATTGTTCCGTGCATTGAAAAAAGATTAAAAATTCGTATGGTATAGTATAATATAACCTGGGCATCTTGTTTTTAACAATGTAAAAATTTGTTTTAGATTTCGCCGAAAATCGCCGGATTTCCAAGTCATAAATTATGACCAAAATTTGGTTGAAATTATGGCAGGCGGAATGACCTGTGTCTAAATAAAGACTAAAAATCGAATAAAAATCCACAACAGTGACAGAAATGCTAATTTGGCAATAAAAATTAAGAAATTATGGGTTCACAAAAAAATGACCATAAAAAAAACGTCTGAAGATTGGATAGTGTGTTGAAACCAAAGTGTTTTTCCAGTTTGTGATCTATGGTTAAATTGAGGGATGGTCAAAATGATCATTTAACATTGTCGAATATTAATGATCAACTTACATAGCAATGTCAATATTCACAGATTAAGCATTCCAAGAGCCCTGAACATTTACATGTTATCATTTGAGATAAACACGCCACGAGTGAACACTTGTCTTATCAGTGAATTTAACACGTTCATTCACTTTAACACACCACATTACTCAATTTTCAAGTCACATTTAATTCCTATTACCGCTTTCGTTCCTCATTTCATTTTAAAATGCATGTTTTTAGTGACGCATCTTAACTACAGATCTTATTTTGACTGACGCATTTACACACACAAACTGGACGGGTTTGAATGAAGAACTAAACTATGGACTTAATCTGTCTGAATAGTAAAATAACGAGTTTAACTCTCTGAAATCAGATAGTTTAAGATGAGAGAGTCTTTTTAGAGAGAATATATTCTCTCGCTCGCTATCTCTGTAGAAAAGGATTTGAAACAGAGAGACATCTCAAGCGATAAAGTGAATGCTTTAAACGGAGAATTTATGCAGACGAAGGAAAGAATGACTGGATATTCCCAAATCAAGGAAGAAAAAAATCGTTTTAAATACAGTCATCTATTTAGTAAATTCCTCGATTGGACAGATTGATTAATGAAATTAATTAGCATTTGGTATTAATAATTTTCTGCGCTTATATAGCCAATCGTACGTATAGCTCAATCATTAAAAATGAAAAGAAAAAAAATGGAATAAATTGGATGGAATTTTATTTCTTTTATTCTCTCTCGAAATCTGTGTTAGTAATTCAACCTTTCAGTGGTTATTAATGTCCGTTTCAATGAGAGAGAGAGAGAGAGAGAGAGAGAGAAAGAGAGAAAAGAATTTCATTCAAAAAATCACAAACAGATAAATGCACCCGAAAATCCGTGTATGTGAAATGATGTGCTTAGGATATTTTATTGGTTTCATAATATGATTTTGGGAAAAGTAAACGTCATTAGTCATTGTTTGGAATTGAACCTAATTTTCTTGCGTTTAATAAGCCAATGGGCTCGAATAATGTTTTCTTTCTACCTGCGACGCGCGTATCTCTTGTTTAAACAATGCACCTGCAGTCGAATGAAGTCAGGTTTCTTAAAATGGAATGTTTCAAAAATGGATCTCGTTAAATGCGATGAAAAAATGGTGCCTCGTAGGGTAAAAAAGAGTTTTTTCAGATAGAAAAAAACCACTTTCTCTCGTAAATTTGTTTAAAATGCTTGAATATTTTTTTCCATTGAAATTAAATAAAAAATGCTACTGTTTATAAAAATACCAACGAAAAATTGCATTTAACATGACAACGGAAAGTCAATAAACTGAGAGAGAAAACGGCCAGCAACAGTTCTTATTT